TTTTTTTTTCTTTTTTGTAAAATATTCACATGCATACACTCATGAAGTAATAATAATCTGGGTTCCTCTGTCAAAATCAGTATGTTTGATTTCCATTTAATAACCTTGTTTTTAAGCCTTTTTTTTTTCCCCAAAAGGAAACTAATCAAGGCTCAAAGAAGTTTAAAGCAAGGTAAAAAAAAAGTTTCATACCGGGAAATTCCTGGCAAAGAACAATAAGTTCTCCAATGAAATAAAACCACCACCCCTAGAGATAAAACCCAATTAATAAGAGTTAACACAGCAATAACGTTGGTAATAAATTATAAGAGCTATTCATGTCAAGTATGAAGCAACGACGTAAATCTGATTACCTAAAATCTGTTGATGGATCCTTTCCTTGCCAGCCCATTTCCTTCCACTGCTCAGATATCAAACCACGAAGTTCTTCCTCTGGGAATGCCACATTCCATAGAGCCCTTAGAGCCTCCTATTAAGAGTCCAAATCATCATAAAGGAGAAAAACTAAACAAAATAGTCTCAAATTCTCCCTCCACAAGACACACACACATAATCTCCCTACATTTTTTTACATCTTATAGAAGGACAAAAAACGTTGTGTAGATAACAAACCTGGTGCTCAGGGATTGAATTATCATAGGCAATATCTATGCGGTTCTGCAGCGTCTGCAAGCATTCCTCCTAGTAAAAGAACCAACATGTGCTATGATTTTGAGATACAAATTCTAACTAAAACAGTTAATAAAAAATGATCTTAAGAAGAAGAACAAAAGTAAAGCTCTGCATGCGACAACTTCTTAATACAATTTGTTCTCTTCTAGTAAGGAGTTTAAATTTTCTCAAGATTCTACTTACCTGGTACTTATTGCTACTATTTAAGATAATAATTTCTTTAGCAAGAAAAATTCTTCAGTTTATTTTTCCTTGTTTTGCTTTTAGCCACCCAAGCCCTCGACCTTGTCTCCTTTTTCACTCTCTAAACCACCCTTGCACCACCAAACCAAACCTCGTTCACTATCCAAGTCACCCCTCATCTCCATATCTCCCTCTTACTAAGTCCCCCCCCCCCCCCCCCCCCCCCCCCCCCCCCCCCCCCCCCCCCCCCCCCCCCCCCCCCCCCCCCCCCCCCCCCCCCCCCCCCCCCCCCCCCCCCCCCCCCCCCCCCCCCCCCCCCCCCCCCCCCCCCCCCCCCC